TGTTGAATATAACGCAGAGGATACGGGCCTGGTCCTGGTCATTCATTTCCCTGTATAGTGTCAAATCCGGCTGCAGTACACGTCTGCCTGATCTGAGAATGCCATACTTCCAGGTTGTGTCGAAGGCTTTTTCTAGGTCGAAAAAAGATGGCAATTATGTGGCCTCCTTCGGCAAACGTCTCGCGTATAAAGGTCTCCAGGCGGACCAGGTGATCCAGAGTGGATTGAGTTTTCCTGAATCCACACTGGAGGCCGCTCAGCGAGCCCGTCGTCTCCACACTGGAGACCGCTCAGCGAGCCCGCCATCTCCAGAAACCAATAGTCGCCTGTGGATCATTTTTTCTATAAGTTTGCACAGACAGCTCGTTAGTGCTATTGGTCTGTAATTGGATGGGTGTGTGTGGTCTTTGTTTGGTTTGGGTATTGAAATGACAGTGGCGAGACGCCAAGACTCAATAAGAATGGGTTCCTAAATTTAAATAGGACACTTTAAATTGTAAAACAATTAAACAAACATATATTTCTCTTCAAATGTATAAAAATAATCAGTATACTCACTAATGAACCACTCCCCGGGGCGATGCCACTAACTGAAGTGTCTTTAGGCCATTCCCAAAGGGGGGACATTTCTCTTTCATGCATAGTAGAATTGTAAATGGGCTCACTCATCAATGCCACACTCATAACTGTGCCTGATCTACAACAGGGAACTGCTGCTTTTTCTTTCCTAATCCTTACTATTGTCATTTCTCTTCTTCTTCTTTTGTATGTTTGTCACACTCTTGTGACCCAGTATTTCCGGGGTGCCTTGATAGTTGAAGCAGACTTTGTGCTGTTGAAGCTAGAGGGGTGAGCAGAGTAAGTCTGATTCCTTGTAAGGACTGTACTGTTGACATCAACCCCTTGGCGCTCATATTGCGATCGCCGTAAAACCTCTACTAAAACTTAAAACTAACTAATGAACTTTGTGTGATCCATTATCTCTATACATCACATTTGTGATTGTGACAGTTTGTCATTTGGGCCGCCTAAAACTTCCGAACCACTTAACTTTCAAATTTGACAAAATTAATGGTGGTTCAGAATCATTTAAAGGGTGCACAGTTTCATTGAGGAGCCTGAAGTCACTGAAGTTTAACTTTCAGTTTTTCATTAGTTTTGTTTAGATCTAATCTTGGGAAAGTCCGTCTTCTAAGACGCCATCATTGTAAACAAGTGAGGTTTCCATTCACGAGCCGTGCGCACAGATTCCACACCTTTAAAATGATGGAGTGTACAATCACGAAAGCGAAATAGAGAATCAATCTATACATCTATTATATCATTTGGCAACTTGGAAACACGACACTGTCACTTTTCTCTCAAGATTTATTGCTCCATTCCAGTAGAGTGTAAATGACTTTCAGTTGATGTTAACGCACCGATCATTCCTTTCATCAAAAGGGGGCCCAGCTAGTTTAAACATATTCAAGAAAAGTGGCAGAATATAAATTAAATAAGATAGGCTATCATGTGCACATGAGCGGCACACCGGCATGGCGTTCGCCTGCCGATTCTAGTCTCGCTTTTGCTCAGTCAAGGAAAGTTTCCAAACTTTGGTGCTTTCATCGACACGTATCAGTCCTAATACTGTTTCCATATTCTTACCAAAAAATGGATGAGCTTTCCCGCCATATATTTTTACTTCGAACATTTTAATAAAATCCATTTGAAAAAGCCTTTCTTCAAAGGTTTTTTTTTTTAATTTTATGAACTTTGCGTTAAAATCAAATCAGTAAAAACATACTGACAGAAACATCAATTTAAGTACTTTTATTGGACATAACTACATCATAATAGATTTAGTACGACCGGAGCACCGGTGTTTTTAAAATGCATGGGTTGTGGGGATCTCACGATTTTGTGTCCGCAAAAGGCTGAAAAGCCGATTTGGAGCCCAACTTTAACCCCAGTAATTCACACTAATTTTTTATATGTTCGCTTATCCGATGTTTTCACATTAAAGATTAAGGACAAAAGTTTGTAGATTTATGAAATTTTTAAAGAATACTGAAATTGGAAGCGAGACACAAGCGAGTTAATTTTCCCCATTTTTGCCGAGATCACCCGCGTATTGCATACCTACTATCATGCAGCCATGAAATCACAGCGAGCTGGCGACAAGCGTTTACCATGTGCAGCAGTGTTTCCCTTTCAGGCCACGTGGAAAACTGGAACCACGTCAGCGTTCTTGTTTCAAAATTCTAATAAGGAATTTCACAAAATAGCTTCTAATTTTATCAAATTCGATCTATCTCAGATGATGCACAGGCATTCAGCGGATCAATCGATAACATATTTTCCAGAACAACATCCTCAAAGAAATCACAGTGCAACTTTCTTGTTTCCAGCTTGATTAAAAAAAGGCAAATCCGCGAAGACTAAATCAATCTTTCTTGTCATTGGTTGCCAAATTTGGGGACGTTTAGATAATTTTTAGATGGTCTCCGCACCTTCCGAATAAGGAGAGTCAGAAAATCAACCGGGTGTGCTATAAATTAAATAAGTATGTTCCTGGGGTTAACCCTGGCAAAGGCGAGACTACCGTGTTTTCCAACTGCCGGCACAGGGCATGTGGTATTGCTACTTCCCCTCTGAACTATTTTGTCACCCCCAACAACAACAGACAAATGAACAGCACTCTGATCACCCTGGTGACTCCATCATTTCCCAGGAGGGTCAGTCCAAATGAAACACCCTACAAAGGAAATCTGAGTATGTTACTTTACAGCGAGTCCACATTTCATAAAGAACAGATGAAAAGTAATTCCGGTAAATTTTTACTTTCACTCCCACACACAGATGCACTGTTTCAGGGGTCAAACTGCTGTACTGTTTGCTGCAGATCACACATAAAGCCACTAAAACTGTCGCAAATCAATTATTTTCAAGACAATTTCAAATCTAACTGTAAAATATCAAATTATGGGTGTAAAAACAGGGGGCATGCCCCCTTGTAACCCCCCAGATTTTCTTTTACCCCAGTGGGGCAGGCCCCCCTGGAACCCCCCGATTGGTCCAAAGCATGTCTATCTCGGTTAAAAACAATCAAATATTTCAAAAACCATTAATTTGCGACGGAAATGAAGTTGATATTCGTGTTCAGCGCATCAATATTTAGTAGAAAATAGACAACTGGTAGCTGAGTGTGAGACGGGAGGGAAAGTAAAAAAAATACCGTAATTCCATTTGAACATACTAAACAGGATGATTAAAAATAAAAAGGAGTTTATTCATTTTTTTACCATTGTGACACAATCTATTCTTTCCTCCACAACAATTAGGTGGACAGTGAACAAAACTAACAAGTTGGCATCTGCATGTAAAAGCCTTGAGTTCCCTTCCAAAGCATAGAAAATATTTTAGAGTCGTCTTTCCACAGGGATGCACTATCTACACAGCTGGAGTTGGAACAGACAAAGAAGGTCGAAGCAGCCCCCTTCCTGAATGACATACTGAGTCAATGGGGGCTTAACTCCTTAGCCCCACCCCCAGTGGCTTGCAGTTGGAACCACTATGCCCATGGTCCGCCAGGCAGGGGCTCGGTTACATTCCTTTACGCAGACAACGTTACGTTAGGATTCGTTTTCAGCAATTTGCCAAATATTGGCCTCTCTTATTGGGAAATCTTTCATTACATGAAGTACAATCAAAATAGATGCATTTCTTTTGATCAATGCTCCCAACAGCTGAAGCTGAAAAATAAGGAAAATTTGGCCAGGGTCCAGCCCAGGGACAGTGTCCCAGCGGGGGAATCTATCTGCAAGTAAAAATGTATTGCCCACCAACCTTCAATGAATGCATAGTGGGATAATGGTTCATTGCAGGAAATGTGCAATCTGGCAGGTTTCTATAACATTAACTTATTGCCTAGACAATTACCGCAAATACAGTGGAATTTGGATTCAACGAGATCGCAGGGCCCGACCTAAAATCTCGTTGAATCTGAGTGTTCATTATAGCAAACATGAGGTTTTGTGTAGGTAATTACAGGCACTGAGAAAGTAATGTATAAAGAGAAGTCACAAGTGGAGCCTGAAATGCCTGCACATGAGCTGTGTAAAAAAAAAGACCGATTCGTTCAAATGCACACGCCCGGGTCATCTCGATTGTTTACCAAAAAGTTGTGTTGCTGTGTAGAGCCTAGCATACGGCTACTTTTGATTACATAGACCAGCGGACAATTCATTACGTAGATCTACGTGAAGACTAGCGTATCATTGTAATATTGATCAGTTGCCGAGGGGGAAAAAAAGATGTTCAACGCCCGGACCGCTAGTGCCCCCCCCCCCCCGACACGCACACACAGACACACGTGTGCAGGCAGCCCATCCAACCCTGACAGATGCTAGAGTACACATGTGTGTGGGCCAACAACGCAAGTGTCTGTATGAAAAAAGGCCGCTGATTGGTCGCACGCAATCGGCTTAGTGAATAATGGTTCACGATGCAGTAGCAATGGATGGTTTCCGAGAATAAATAAAGTTTGTTCTCTAAGAAAAATGAGCAAAGCCTGTTCACCCTGGAAGCAACCTCGTTGAATCCGAGCTCGCCGATTTAAGTGCTCGTTGAATCCGGGTTATTTTTATTGATTTTAAAGAAGAAAGAAAACGGGGAAATCTATCTCATCTCATTGAATCCGAGTTCCATTGTATCTAGAATTTACACAAGACGATGCGAAGGCAAAAACGGATTCTTTGCTACAAAATTTCAGCAGCCCTACGTTTATGAACTTTTTTACAGATGGAGATGATAGTATTGATGGGGAAGCAAATGGAATTGTCGGATTTCCGAAAAATATGAAAGATTGGAAGCACTGTTTGATTTAATGACCATATTAGCGATGTGTTTGTCACTCTCATGTTTTGTACCTCTAAAGAGGGCTCCAGCACAGTGAGAAAACCCACTACGAAGATAACAGTTAAGGCATTTACAACCAATAATAACCATAAAGATCTTACCAAAGGCAAATCATTCATGTTGTAGACAATGACTCCCTGATACTGTTCTGTGCTCTCCGTGATACGACCCAAGCCCGACTTCATCACATGGTGGCCATAGAGGAACTGCTGCTCTGCACTAGACTTCAGCCACACTTTGTGCTGGGAAAAGAAATGAAAATGATGGTGTTATGCTACAAATGTGTTATTAATTTTTTTGAAAAAATTAAAACAAAAACAAAAAAGTTCCCGGCTTTCAACGAACTTAATAAAAGTTTATGTGTAGAGAAATAAGAATTCAAAATGCCTTCAAAAAAAGGCATCAAGTAGCACAGCAGTAATTGTGACCCTGGCACCTGCCTGATAACAGGCTGTCATCAGTCTCTTGAAATAAAAATGAGAAGGCAGTCTCAGCATCAGCTTAATCATAACTTTGTCCAAGTTGATTTCAGCCCCCACATTTACTTTTTGAAATTTAACCTCCAATACACTGAAATAAACATTACTGTCAGTGTTACAAAAGTATGATAGTGATAGGAACACAACCAGACAGACTGAACTTATTTACCTTGGCATAAGGGGCAAGATAGTCTAAGGCAGTGACATGTAAATGAAACTTTCCAGATTTAGTGAACTTTCCAAAGCAAGAACCAATGCTCAGCAGACATTCCCCAGCGGCTGAACTTCCAATTTTCAGTTGATCCTCACTGGAAGAGACAAAAGAAAAAGCAGTCTTAGAGCCAGAGACAATCACTGTTACAACAAAATATGATACTGAATAGACCATATACAGTAGAACAAGGCTATAGCGGGACATTTTGTTCCAGAAGAAAAATCCTGTTGTAAGCGAGTCCCCGCTAGAGGAATGCAAAGGGGAAATTACCGAAAAACTTCTAAAAATCCAAGTTCCTTATATCAATAAAATTTGCGCTTTTGATTAGTCATCGTTTTCTTCGTTGACTATCTTGGCTTTTAATCCGAGCGAGAATCATTTCCCTTTGTCATTGTTGGAAGCCATCTTTTCCTCGGTTTCGTTTCTTGTGTTGTCTATCATACCGGAAGAGCAACTGTAGAACCGGTGAAGTGGATGTGTGCGTATGTCTGTGAGCATCAACGATTGTACTTCAATGAATCAGGAATCACACACTACACATTCTCCTCTTCTTTTACTTTTTGGCCTAGCCTAGGAATAGGGCTATGGCCTATACACTCTCACAGGGTTGGGTTGATTTAAATCAGTTGATTTTTTAAATTTAAATCAACTTGATTTTTTAAATAAAAATCAGTGATTTA